CTGGGGGTGTTGTGCTCTAGAGAAAAGTCCCTCCTGAAGGGAATAACGATAACTGGTCAGGGACGTTTCCCTGAGCGGAGGTCTCTGCCCGCGCGGCCCTGGAGCCGTTCCGGGGTGTGCTGCTGCCCGGCCGGGTGGGAAGAACTTCGGGCTTAAATCGAAACTGCTTTTCTGCCCTGAAAAACTAACCTAGAGCTTCAGTTTCTTGAAAGCAATAATAAGCAACATTTCCCTAGGTCTAGGAATCAGCTAAAGGGATATAATTTTTTTTTCCTGATGTTCTATTTCTTTGATACGATATACTTCATTGTCTTGTGTGAGAACGTAGTAAAACTGTTGGAGAAAATACTCTTCCATGTCTGTCTGTAGGTGTGATGTCCAAGGTGCCGGTGGAGGAGAGCCACGCAGCAGGCCTGCGAGAGGATTGCGAGGCTGGCTCCAGAAGGAGGAGCTGGGGGCTGTTGGTCACCGCTGGTGTTGGTGGGACCTTGGTGGCACTCTATGCTGTGGTCACTCCCTTTGTGACCCCAGCTCTGAGGAAAGTATGCCTGCCCTTTGTTCCTGCAACTTCCAATCAGATCCAGAATGTGCTGAAAATGTTAGAAAACAGAAGCGGCTCCCTGGTTGACATTGGCAGCGGGGATGGCCGTATTGTAAGTTATGGACGTTGCCTTGCTTTTGTATCACCTCTCAAAAAAGTGCTAAATGCTCTAGCCATGGCTGCTGCTGTCTTCTCATATTTATGAATGTCTTGTCTTTGGCATCCAGTGTTTTTGTTTGAGCCTTATGAAAAGGCTCAAAGCTGAGAGAGTTTTATATTCAGTTTAGGTGAGTAATTGGTATTTTTTGCTCTAGTCTTACCTGCAGCTTGACAAGATAGTGTACAAAATGATAACCTCATCCTGTTGGCAGGAGGGAGTTGCACTGCACTCATGTGAAAGGATGTGCTTGAAGAACTGGTATTGTGATTGCCAAGAGCTGTGATTCCATATAGGTTTATCGTTGCAATATGTGATGCTGTAAGATTAAATAGCACTGTGCAGCTCTAAGCTTATTCTATAAAGGTGATAGAAGCACGAAAGAGAATGAGAAATGAGTGATGGATTACAAAAATAAAAATCCTGGTATTGTTAGAACTGTAGTCTTCACACCTTTGTGCAGCGCTGGCTGCCTCACTTCAAAATCAATGTGGTGAAAGTAGAATAATTACCAAGAGAGATCGTGAGAATCATCAAAGCCAAAGTGACATTGTGCTTCCAGGACACTGTCTGAACCCCAATTTGTGAAATGTGGTGAGAGTGTAGTGGAGAATGGTGTGGATTTTTGTAGTTGTGATGTCTTGTGTATCATTTTATAACCATCTGACTGAGTCTGTTTTAGCAACGCGATTGCGCGCTAAGCAGGTTTTTGATGGAAACAAGTAAGTTCTTGAATGCTGCCTTTGTCCATATTTCACGTGAATGAGTCTGCCACTTGTCCACACTAAAAAATTTGATTTGGAAATCCATATCTGTGAAGGTGGCTTAGAAGGAATTGTGTCCAAGTAGGAAACAGAAAAGCATGTAGGTATGAGAGCTGCAGTTTCTGATGCCCTCTCTGCTCAACATTGTGGCTGTTGACTGTCATGTGAAGCATCTAATTTGACTAGGTAATGTGTGTTTAATTCTGATTTTGTGTGTCTGTGTGTGTATATATATATATATATATATATATAGGTACCTAAATGGAAACTGAAGACTCCCTGGAGAGCAAGGTGCCAAAAATTGAATGCTTGGTGTTGCCTTAATGCATCTGCGTTGAAAAAAGTTGAGCTTCTATTCAGATGCTTTTAAATATTTAGCACTTACTCAGGTGTAATCAGTGGGTAAATATGACCGTATTCTTATTTCCAAGCATGGTAAAAATGTCAGATCCTTTTAGTATATTTGCAAATGCTGTGTGCATGATGGAAAGTGCATTATTTTAATAGTGAGAAACACACTGTCCAGGTTATGCTCTTTGAGAAGTTCTAGTAAGAAATGTGTACTTCCTGATTTCACCTTGCCTGTTCTGTAATTCATAGTTCATCAGCTTTTCCTGATTAAAACTTGGCAGTAACCTTTTAAATTATGACTTAAACCTTAATTCTAGAAAATGATGCCTTTTTGTATTTTTTCTTATTTTTTTTTTCCTTTTTCTAAAAAATCAGTAGTCTTTGATCTTGTTTGAAGACACTTACCATACAGTTTAACAATTCTAAATCTTAGGGTCTAATTTAGAGGAAGGTCTTTGAAAATCTGTTTGTGATCCGAATTACGTTTTGCCTTCTAAAATGACATATGAAGCTTAGCATTGGATTAAAACTATACTGTGAGATTTATGTGTGGGTTTTTTTCAATTTTTTAACCTACATTTAAATTTTTGACATACATTTTTTTTAAGTGTAGGTCAGCAGATTACTTTCATACTCTTTCTATTGGTAGGTCATTTTGGCTCTGATTCAGGGATCTCTCAAGTGCCTACCTGTCAGTGCTTTTTGAATAAGTGGTCTAATTTAGTGTTTCTGCTTGTGTATTTCACTGTTCTCTCCATGGTCCGTTTTGGTACTCTTTAACTGCAAGGTAGTGTCATGAATATGTTAAATTAAACTTTTATGTAAATTGTAGACATATTCACAGGGCAAAGCCACAAGCTTGCAGTGTTTAAGTGGTTAATTTTGTTCATCTGAATGTATCTATTATTTTAGTGGGACTAGTCATAATAGTTAAATGTTGTTTGAATTTTTGTTCGATATACTACTAATCTGTTGGGGGTTAAAACCTGAGTGATTTAAAGTGCATTCCTTTAATTTATAAGTAAATATAAGTTTCTAAGTGAAGATTTATTTTCTTCCTTGTAGGTGATAGCAGCTGCAAAAAGGGGATTCAAAGCTGTTGGTTATGAATTGAATCCCTGGCTAGTCTGGTACTCCAGATACCGTGCCTGGAGAGATGGGGTACATCAGAACACCAAGTTTTATATTTCAGACTTATGGAAGGTAGGTGGTGAAGGGTGAAGTATGGAAGAATGAATCTGGAATGTTTGAGGGATTTCCATAATTTGGAATACTTTCTTGAAAGAACCAGAATGCTGACTGGCCAGAGGGTGCTGTAGTGGGCTTTGAGGAAAATACTCGAGTCCATAGAAGCTGGGCTCAGGGCACAATGCACTGCGCTGCTGGTTTTGTGCTTTGTTGAAGTGCTGTCCTTTTTCAGGACATTCTTCTTGAGCAAACCATGTCATGCTTATGCCTGATGAATGATGTGGGGTGCTGTAATGTCAGGCTTCACTGAGAGCTGATTCTGCGGAGTCAGTAACAAGACTCTTATTCACCTAATGTGCAGGATCACAATCTCATCTGACATTTCATTAGACCTGTGTTCTTTTTTAGCTGTGCAATGTGTTATCTGGTTTTGAGTGTTGCTTTAAGGTTATTTGCATACATGTGACTGAGATTTTTTTACAACTTTCAGTAATTTGAGTCAGAATTGCTTCTTCATTGAGGTGTGCTTTTTTTGGGTCATATTTATGTGGGCCTCTCCCCTGCTATTCCTGTCAAAATTGTGGGGTTGGTTCGTTTGTGTGTTTTGTTGTTGATTGGTGGGATGTGGGTTTTGGTTTTTTAAGGATGATATTTTTGTAATGGGTAAAGTGGATACCAGGAATTTTGGGGAAAAGTGTGAATGTGCTGGTTTTATCTTTGTTCAGAGAGAAGCATAGGAGAACTTCATGGCACTGACTGGAAGAACCCAGGCATTGAAACGCCTGACAAGTTTTTATAGCTAGCTAACATTTAACAAAAGTGGGGGCAAACTTAAAACATATGTCATTTTAACATATACAGGAGTTGTGGAAAAACTTAGCCATGGGTAAAATTGTGTAGGTATTTTCTAAATTAATATTCTCTGTGCCACTAGAATTGATGCCATATTCTTGGCCAGGCGGTAGAAGTTTTTTGCTGTTCAGCAATTTAAAGTTGTCTTTATGTGGAAATTTGTGTGATGAAAAGTTGTTATGGGATCTCTGTTCTAATTTTTGGTCTAAATCTCTGTTGAAAGGAGTGCAACTAGAGGAATTAGGGGAACAGAATAGTGAGAGCTTCTCCAAATAGAAATGCCATTTTCGTTAAGACTTGTTCTAAAATTTTGTTTTAGGTTTCTTTTTCCCGTTATACAAATGTTGTTGTTTTTGGGGTACCTCAAATGGTAAGTTTACTATTTTTGCATCATTTAATTATTTTAATACCAAGGCATTCAGTGTTAGTAGATTCATCTGCAAAATGAACCAAACTACAGAATGTCAAAGGTAGTTAGTACTAATATTTTGATATTTCGTTGTTGCTTATTAATGTCCATGATAAAGCCTGGTAAAACTTGTGATAGTATGCAGACTGGGGCTCTGAAAAAATACATGTTTTTTTTGAGAAGTATATTCTGTCCGTTAGTTCAGGAGTGAAATGAAAACTGCTTGGGGGGAAGGTGATAGATTGGTTGTTGAAAATTTCAGTTTTTCATACTGAAAAAATGAGGAGTTTGCAGAGTGAGGATGGAGTGGGAAATTTGCTACAGCTGATTTATGGGAACCTTGTTAGAGGAGAGTATTGAATTTTGCTTATGTTCTTCTCTAAAAACCAGATCAACTCAAATAGGCCAGCAGCTGACATATTGAAATAATCCCTTGCCTAAGTTAAAGTGTGAGGGTTTAGGAAGGGAGACAAATACTTGAAGTATAATTTCTAGAATACAAGTCCACAAAGTCTTTGCCTCTTAGGAAGGCTTTGTAGGCTGTGTTCATCGTGTCCCTGCGGAAAATGCGTTCTTTGAAACTGGTGTAGAAATTGAGTTACATAGTAACTGCTTCAGTAATATATTTCAGTAATTCAGTTAGACTTTACATTCACTTTGGCTTTTGGCTTGATCAAGTTTTAGATTTTTTCTAAAGAGAAAAAGAAAATATGTAAATGTTCTTGATATTTTGATTTTTTTTTTATTAGAATCTTCTATATAGGTTGAGTGCACATGGAGGAGTAAAACAGAAATATCCTATAAATGCCTCTATTGCTGCTGCTTCTGCTAAGGCAGATGTGGGATGAAATGAATGAAGAGCTCTAGGTGATGTTATACCATACTATATACCCTGATAATATTTCTGTAGTAGTAACAGAAAGATGCAACAAGTGTCATAAAGCTTCCCTATTCTCTGCTTTAACAGCACTGGAATTAAATACCTACTTCAGATTTAATTTGTAACTCATGTTGGAAACTGCAGAGAAAATGCCTTTTTTCCCCTGCTTTTGTGGGTGGCATATTAGTGAGAGCTGTGATGTTACTTGTGCTACTGATGTTGTCAGGTTTGGATGTTATGTGCTCTCTGGCTTGAGTTCCGGGAGGGGGCAGTATAAATATTTGAATTTGCAGTCAGAAATTCTGTAATTGCACAGAGGGGAAAAGTGCAGCTGAAGAAAGATGCTTCAGTAAACTAGAAATAAACGAATGCCCTGGGAAAATGTGAGTAAACCTAGCAGAAATACTGGCTTAACTTTAAATGTAATAGTATAAAGTGAGATAAATTAGTAACAGCTATGATACAAAGAGTAGCTATAGGGCTCAGAATAACTTCAGTAAATACTAGGCTTAATTCTTCTAATAAAATACTGTCATAAATGTAACAGATTCAGACATATGAACTACGGTGTTCCCTGAGCATTTGTTTGCTCATCATCCCCTTTAAATTTACTTCGGAAGTTGTGAATGCTTAGCCTCCTGAATGACTAAATTGATTTTCTGGAAACTTTAGTGCATTTTCCCTTGTTTACTGAGGGCAATAGCTCTCTTCAGCTTTTTTTAATAATACTGGTCTGATCTGGTGCTGTCACACAGTGCTTTTATTTCATATCCAAGATTAACTTACGGAACTTGGATTTATTAATCTTCAGGGAAGACTAAGACCTTGCTGTTCTTGCAAGCATCTGGGGGAAGGTGTGTTTATCTATGAGTCATTACAGAGAGGCTTGTTCAGGGTGGGATGACAGAATTCTTACTGGGTGTTCATGTTCACAGCTTCTGTGTATTTTAACTGATTGTATTATGTATAAAAGGTTTACTAAACTGTGTATCTATGTAGACATACCAAAAAAGCCCGGTCCTGGCCTGATACAAAATACGGTATGTTTATAATGCCTAATGTTGCTGAGAGATGTAGCTTAAAAACTAGTTTGACTGTTTGGTTCAAGGATACAATTCTTCTTGGCTGATCTATTAATGGCGTTTTCTAATTTGAGCTAATATAGACATGAGATGTCACTAATTTCCATAATTACTAATTAAAAATTAGACTGTCTATATTTTAATTTCTGCAACAACTTAGTCCTTTTCTGGTGTCTCAGGTCAGTTTGAGATACGAAAGTGGGCTTATTTTTCTGGTTTATTTAAGGTGCAGTAGCAAAAATGTTTAAAAGCATTTGCTGTATGGATGAAATCAGAGCATAGAATGCTTAAAAATATTCAGAGAACTCTTTGATATATTAAATCTGACTATGATTTTGCTAAAATATTCCATTGGAAGCTTAAATGTAGTTATAAAAGAATGTTACATCAAAGGTGCACTCTGCATGTATGTGATAGTGGAAGCTATCTGCAGCCTTTGGAAATACATTTTCTTCAGTCAGTCTTGTTTTCTAATAATATTCACTTGTGGTTCTTTTCCTTTTTTGTGAATTTTTCTGTATATTTTTGTCCTTCATGGCTGTATTTGTAAATAATTACTGTCCTTTTAACCTTTCAATATCTAAATGTTATGTCATGATATCAAAGTAAATAGATTTTTACATGTAATAAAAGTAAACTGTGGAGCTTGCTGTTATAATTACTCCCTGAGATAGATACAGTATGTAAGAATAAAAGAAATTCCAAATGGATGTGCACTGATCTGCTTAAGGATAACATCAAACTCTTCCAAAGGACAAAAATGGCTAAATCTATCAAGGTGTGTGTGTGGTTTTTTGTTTGTTGTGTTCCACCCCCCCCAACATGATCACTATCTGGGATGGGAAAGAAATTTCTTTGAAGTCTAGATGTGTTGATTCATTTCTCACTTAATCCATAGTAGAATTTGCAAAGTACTTGTTAGAGTATCTGACTGGGCAGGGTGTTGCTCTGTACTGGAAGAGTGGCATTATTGCCTTTGACTTTTCTATCTGCTCAATTTTTGCAAATGGAGGAAAGCTAGACTGTAGGTCTTCAACCAAGAAGTGGTATTTGATGTAGTACCTCACAACATCCTTCTCTTTAAATTGGAGAGATATGAATTTGATGGATGGACTGTTTTGTGGATAAGGAACTGGCTCGAAGGTTGCATCCAGAGAGTAGTGGTCAATGACTTAATGTCCAGATGGAAATCAGTGACCAAGTGGTGTGCCTCAGGGGTCCATGTTAGGACCAGTACTGTTTAGTGTTTTCATCAATGACATAGACAGTGGGATTGAGCACACCCTCAGCAAGTCTGCAGATGACAACAAGCTGAGTGGTGCAGTTGATACAACTGAGGGGTGGGATGCCATCCAGAGGGACCTGGACAAGCTCAAGAAGTGGGTCTATGTGAACCTCATGAGGTTCAACAAAACCAAGTGCAAGGTCCTGCATGTGAATCAGGGCAACTCCTGGTATCAATACAGGCTGGGGGATGAAGGGGCTGAGGGTGGCCCTGCAGAGAAGGACTTGGGGATACTGATGAATGAAAAGCTGGACATGAGCCAGCAATGTGTTCTAGCAGCCCAGAAAGCCATCTGTCTCCTGGGCTGCATCAAAAGCAGCATGACGAGCAGGTTGAGGGAGGGGATTCTCCCCTTCTAGTCTACTCTGGTGAGACCCCCCCTGCAGTACTGCCTTCAGCTCTGGGGCCTCCAGCACAAGAAGGACATGGACCTGTTGGAGTGAGTCCAGAGGAGGCCACGAAGATGATCAGAGGGCTGGAGCACCTCTCCTATGAAGACAGGCTGAGAGAGTTGGGGTTGTTCAGCCTGGAGAAGAGAAGACTCTAGGGAGACCTTACTGTGGCCTTTCAGTACTTAAAGGGGGCTTATAAGAAAGATGGAGACAGACTTTTTAGTAGAGCCTGTAGTGGTAGGACAAGGGGTAATGGTTTTAAAGTAAAAGAGGGTGGATTCAGACTAGATATAAGGAAGAAATTTTTTTACAATGAGGGTGGTGAAACATTGGAACAAGTCACCCAGAGAGTTGTTAGATGTCCCATCCCTGGAACGTTCAAGGTCAGGTTGGTGGGGCTCTGAGCAACCTGATGTAGTTGAAGATGTCCCTGATCATTGCAGAGGGGGGTTGGACTAGGTCGTCTTTGGAGGTCCCTTCCAACCCAAACTGTTCTATGATTCTGTATGCTGTTTCATACAGTACTGCTGCGGGGACTTACATGCGTATGTTAACAGACTGGAGCCAACAAAGCTTGATTTCAATAGTGTTTAACATACCTGTACTTTACCATACAGTGACAGCAGAATGTTTGCTTTGGCTTGTTGGCTGTATGATGTTTTGAGTGCCCCAGGATCTGTCTTGGGGTTAGACTGGAAATTGAGAGGCGTTGGCCTTTGAGAATAACATAATAGTTCATGCGACTTGGGGTGTCATATATAGCATAAATTCAGGGGACTGAACTTTCATTCTCTGCAGAGAAGAATCCCACTGAAGAGAATCATGAATTGGAACATGCAGAGTCTTTTCTTGATTTGTGGGATTTTTTTTTTTTTATCTAAGGGATTATCTACGGGTTTTGATTAAATTTTTAGAACTTAGAGTTATGACTTGCTTGATCTCACCAATCAGGGCACAATAACCGTTTTCTAGTTCTACGTATTGTTTGTCAATGCGTTAAAGCCAAAATGTTTATCATGAATACTTTCCTAAATTTTTTTCCAAAAATTCTTCAAACCTTGGACTTCTCTTGAACACTTGAATTAGATTCTAAAGAGAATACTTCTGGTTTTTACTGCTTCTGAAATATTTTTATTGTTGCTCAACAGATGCCACAGTTAGAGAAGAAACTGGAAGAAGAACTTGAATGTAATGCCAGAATCATTGCCTGTCGTTTTCCTTTCCCTTGCTGGATCCCAGATCATACTACTGGAGAGGGAATAGACACTGTGTGGGCCTATGATTTGAAACATTCTAGAGGATGTGAAACAAGGAGTTTGGAAATTATACCAGCAACAGAATCCTAAACATCTAATGGTTTTGTACTGACATTTTTGGCTTTGACTTCACCTGCTAAAGATAAGATTAATGTGAATAGAGCCTCAGGATATGGAGATAGATATTCACTAAAATAACTGAAGTACACTGGGTATCTGAAAGCACACAAAGGTTAGTGAAAGGTGTAGTTAAATGACTTAATGTAGTTAGTAAAAATTATGAGAAAGTTTTATAGCAGTGGAAAACTTTAATTTGGAAAAAACATGATTCACTATAGTTAAGGAGGATATACGTATAAGTTAAAATGCTCAAATTGCTGAACTTAATATGTGCATTATTTCTGAGCCTACATAGCATTTGTTATTGGTGTTGGAGGTGCTGTGCAAGTGGCTCCTCAAATGAGCCATGGTTCCCAGATGTCTTAATTATGTATGCCAAGTAGGCATAATGTTGCATAGATCAAACTGATGCAGACTGAGTATGATGATGATACCAGTGTTTTACATCTCTGCCTTGAATGTGTACTCTTAAAAGTTGAATATGACAAAACAAGCAAATAGAACAAGTTGCTTATCCATTAACACAAGTGCAGCCCTTGATTATATTAATGTATTTTTATTAACTCATGTGAAGACAAAACTGCAGAAATGTGCTCTTACTGAACTCTTACTGGTATAAGCCTTTGCAAATGACCATGATTTTTCCTAACCTCTCTGATTTAGGAAAGGTTTCGAAAATCACCTACTTGGCAATGAAGTGTCACCACTTCTGTGTGCTCAAACCTTGGTAAGGTATGGGTGAAAATTCCTTACTTGAACGTGTCATGAAGACTGTCTCTGATTCCAGTTCTAGCTGACCTGGTTAGCTTGGCTAAATCTACTAGAACTCAATTTATAGTGAGATGGGAAGGGAGATTTTTCAGTCAGGCTTCTTTTCCCCTCTACTTTACTATGCCCCATGATGAGATCTCAGAAACTCATGGCATTGCTGCATGGCTTTTCCTTGGAAGTGAAACGAGTTCTCAGTCTTTTTATTGATGCTGGTTTGCAGTGGGGTACTGTCACTGCTGTGACATTTTCCTTTTCTAACGTGGTTACAGCACTTTTCTGTTTTGTAGCAGTCTGCTTACTTGGTCTTTCTTTTGGTTCTCAGGTAAAGCTTTACTGTTTTCACTCATTAACAATTAATCAAAGTTCATAGTTAGCTTGCCCTGGCCCCAGTTAACATATAGGCTGTTTGTTAAGCAGTGACTATGTAAGTTTCAGACCTTTGCATGTTTGCATGTATGATTCCCAGAGAATGAAGCTAAAACAGGCTAGGGAATTGTTACCTGACTTCTCAGCAGTCATTACCACAACTAAAATTAGCTCAGGCCAAGAGAAGTGCTGGGACCCTGCAATTTCAGGTAAATACAAAGCCTGTGACATTTTATTAGGCATTGGGAAAGTGTGTTTGCTGGACTATAATATCTGACTTGAAGAGAAGTTAGATGTTAATTGGGATATGTAGTCTACAGTTACACCTGTACCCAAACTTTTTTTTTTTTTTTTTTGTGGGGGGGGGGAGGTGCGGGGGAGGAGAAAGGAGAATTTAAAATGCAAATTTACACTGAGGATTTGAAATGGAACAGTAGAATGGTTTTGTCCCGATAATGTGTACAAAGCAGGAGAAGAAAGGGACAAATGTGTTTGCTCTGGAGTCCGCAAAGAAGAGACAATTTCAGCCTCGTATAGCGAGGCACAGCTGTAAACATGGAAACTGTATGTATTGAAGAACACTGATTTCTGCTAAGCAGTCTTTTGCAGCCTTTCACTGCGTCTTGTAAAACTACATTAAACTCTTTCTACCATGATTTAAGTGTTATGATTATTATGTGACAGGACAAGGCTACAGTGGCTTATCTAAAATGACTGAATATCCCAAGGCCATAAAACTGGAAACTCAGACAAAAGAAATCTGAAATTTCTTCTATTGGAAGAAGACCATACAAAGGGGAAATTAGCTGATGAGGCCAAGTCCTTCCCCGAATGATTGTAAAGGAGAAGATGAGGCAAAAACTTTTGATCAAGTGAATTGTGACTCATCTGCAGTGCAGTGCTTTGACCCAAGTTTCTACTGCCTGCTTCCACTAAAGTTAGTTTACTGGAAATGAAGCGGATGTTTACTTTTTCTGCTGTGTTTGTCTGTATATATGTCTGTTGCATTATTGTTTGCCTATTAAAAGGTAAAACTGAATTTCTCAGTTCTGCCTGTGGTAAAGGCTTTGGATATGTACTTCTTATTTCTGGAGCCGTAGGTGGTAACTACTTGTTGAGGAGTGCAAGATAGAATTAATGATGCGGTGACCTGAGCTTTAGGAGCATTAAGTGCTGTCCTCGAGGCAAGGAGAGATTTATGAACGCTTTTAAAGTAAAGCAGAGGGCTGTTTCTTGCTCTGACCACTTACTTTTGGGGGCCTACACTGAGATAGACAGTGGTCTGAAGGTTCGAAATTCCTTATGTAAGGAAATGTGCTGTATTTCTTGTTTCCATGGCTGGAGTGTGAAATGGAAAGCAAATTGCTCTAATTCACACAGGGGGACTGGGAAGGCATTTTTTTGCTATATCCTCAATTTTTCTATCACTTGCTATGTTCATTTGATAATTTACAAGGTTAAATACTTAACTGTGACTTCAGTTATCGCTATATGGATTATTACATTGATACAGTTCCAATTGCTAGGGTAATGTATTATGATTTCATTGATAAGCTACTTCAGAGTACAAATTTGTTTCTTCTGAAAACAAGGAAAGCCTTAGAGAACTGGCTTAATCAAATTATAGTGTAGGTCTGAAGCCAAAAGAAGGAAACCTTCAAGCTACATATGCTGTTCAATACCAGAGTAATTCAGATACACAGAAAAACCTATAGTTTATCCTTGTTTACATCTTCTAGTAGAATCAGTTGCCTTTTGGGAGTTACTTCTTTTATGCCTTCCTTGCCCTGCCAGATGTTAGCAAAAAAGTTGCTATATTGCTGAATGAGTAATGCTTTCCTGAAACATCATAGAATTTGATCTGTTTGAAAAGAATATAGATCAGAGTTCTCCAGGAGTCAGACATTCAAAATTTTTTTTGTTCATTAAGACACATTAGATCCCCATAGGCTTTGTGATGCAAGATCAGTTGTACCAATGCAGTGTCTGAGTGCTACAATTCTAATTTTTTAGTTTTCAATTTTGCATAAATTGGCTTTCTAGGGAGAAAGAGAGAGGTATGGCTACAAGAGAGCCATCTGATAGGCAGGTTGCTCAGTACCCTGCATAGTCACTAGATCTACACAGCAATGTCAACCAAGTTTGTCCACATTTCTTTGTGAAATGTGCACATACTTTGAGCTTTAGATATTTCTGTATTACTGGGTGTATTGAAGTCTTGACTTATCCTCTGGTCTAATTATATGCTGCCACTTAATCTAATAGTGCTCTAAGGAAGTTAATCCTCTGTCTCTGAGCTGCTGTTTACTTCTGACTCATGAGATGCAGCCAGATAAGAAGGTACAGAATTAAGTTTAAAATAAAGTACCACATTTCACGGCTAGTTGAATGAGTATAGTCTGTGGGGAAAAAAGTTCTAAAGCCCAGGCTTTGGGAAAGTCTTTCAGTGTTAATGAAGGACACAGCTTAGGAGGTGACAGACCTCCTGGATTCTGCATAGATCTTTTAAGGATGTCTTGAGCTTTGCTTTTCTTGTTTGTGTTCTTTAGAAATTTTGCCACCGTAGTACTGTTCTAAGATCTACAGGGGAATTAAGCAGTGGTAACATTTTGTTTATCTTTTATGTTTTGAGCTGTGGGATGAAAGGAGGAAGGGAATCTTATGGTCCAAGTATGGCAGTTTGAACTATTTCAAAAGCAGTTTGACAGACTTGCACCTCAGCTGTGCACATTTCTCATTGGATAGGAGCACCCTATCCAGTGAGATGTGAAGATGTGAAAGAGGATGTGAAGCGAAACCTTCCTACCCTGGTACAGCCTTCAGATTATTATCCGTTCATGATTTTTCAGATAGGCAGCGATCAGGTTGGAACTAAAAATCCAAAGGCAATCAAGGGAGACTTCAAGACCTTGAGACGACTGGTTAAGGCATCAGGAGGACAAATAGTGTTCTCTGTTCCTCTAGTTGCAGGGAATGATGAGGGAAGAAACAGAGAGAGCCAGCAGATCAATAGCTGGCTCCGAGACTGGTGTAACCAGCAGAATTGGTTTTTTTGATCATGGGTTAGTCTACATGACACCAGGCCTGCTGGCGACCGATGGAGTACGCCTGTCTCAAAGGGGGAAAAGGATCTTTGCACAGGAGTTAGCTGAGCTCGTCAAAAGAGCTTTAAACTAGATTTGAAGGGGAGAAGGATAAATCCAGGCTTGCCAGAGATAAGCCTGGGGGTGGCATGTCAATGTTTGAGGGATGATGTGCTAGCGAGGTCCTTCGGTCTGCCATCTCAGTGGAGGTAAGGGAATGGAGATCCATGCAGCAGCAAAGGCACAAGGCTCACTGATGGGTTAGAAACCATGGAATTGCCTGAGAATGGTCACGTAGGAATTTTAGCTACTTCTTCCAAAAAGGAAGAGAGATCAATAGCCCAACTGAAGTGCATCTACACCAATGCACGCAGCATGGGCAACAAACAGGAGGAACTGGAAGCCATTGTGCAGCACGAATGCTATGACATAGCTGCCATCATGGAAACATGGTGGGATAACTCGCACAAGTGGAGTGCTGCAATGGATGGCCATAAACTCTTCAGAAGGGATGGGGAAGGAAGAGAGGTGGTAGGGTAGCCCTGTATGTTAGGGAGTGTTTTGATTGTCTAGAGCTTAATGATGGTGACAATAGGGTCGAGTGTTTATGGGTACGGAATCAGGAGGAAGGCCAACAAGGCAGGGATCGTGGTGGGAGTCTGCTATAGACTACCCAACCAGGATGAAGAGGC